TTAAGGAACCTTTGAGTAAAAAGAATCTGCTGCTATGTTGACATTGTGGTTTCCGAGTGCATGGTGAGTTGAGAAGTATCAGTAGAATGAGAATCTCATTATTAAGTATTGGCATTTATACACCAATAGCTACTTAACAGCTTTAATATTTAAACATTTTATTGAAAGGTGCAAAGGTGAGATGTGGAAACTGTTAAGGTTGCATTAATATTGAAGTAAGAGGGAAGGTATATCTAAAAAATATGCTGTCTATGGTTTGTCTCTCCAATAATAATAAGTTCTGATAAGTAATAGCTCAGAATTGAAGGATGATATTTAAAAGTTATAAGGGGTGGCAAACGAGTGAAACTGCTTGAGAATGATCTGACGCTTCTTGATCGTTATTCGCAAGGCGTATATGTGCAGTGCACAATTACATTTCCAGCTAAACTGATAGTGCATCATTGAATGTAACAAAAATTGTTTGTATCGCAGCTGTAGCAGTTGTTTTATTGCAAACATATTTTTACAAAGTGGTATCAATGACAAACATTCTGGCTGCCTCATATTTCATGTATGTTTGTATATTGGCAGTTATTACCAAGAAAGTAATTAGAAGTGTACTGTATCAATCAGAAAAAAGTTGCACCCTGTAAAGGGAACGTTTTTAGCCACCACTTGGTACAAAGAACTGTGCTAAGAGTAGCACATTAATGTAGCTTGCACAGGTGTTCATGAAGAAATGGTATTGCTCAAACCATAGTTCCTTTAGGCACTCTGTGGCTAGTTGCAATGATGTGTTTTTGATTGTGCTTAAATTCATGTAAATCTGGTGGCAGATTTTATTTTTAAGTTTCTACGTTCATTACAATTTTTGTTTGATTTTTAAAAAGTCATTAAGAAAATGAAGATATAACAACATTTATATTTCTATATTCCCTGGCATATGCTCAAGATGTTTAAACAATAGTTGCGGAATGATGTGGTATTCATTGCCTACAAACGATATAGTTGCTGGAAGTTTAGTAATGCGGTTTTGTTCATACTCCTTTTAATCTATCACTGGGCATCAGCTCATTATGTAATTTAATTATTTTTGCACTACATACAAATTTCACCAAAATAATAGAATATTCCTAAGTAAAATGTCTTTAGTTCATGAAAATGGAAATTCAGTACACAAAATATAAATTTTGTGGCAGCAGATTAAAAAATAATTAAGCATGCTAGTACACACAATGCACAGTGCATGAATAATGGTTATATTGATTTTATATTGTGGAACATATCTTTAATATTTTTATTTTAAATAGATGAATGATGAGTGATGACATGATACTGTCTTTATCACAGTATGTGTTGCCCAGATGTTTTGAGGCTGGATACATAACATATTCTTGAAGTGTAAAGAATCTGATGCTGTGCAAAATAGCCCCCTTATTAGCTATACACTTTTCTTAGTGGATTCCATATTATTGTAAGTCCTGTTTTATAATGTTCTTTATAGACTTGTAGTTTTTATTCTATTTCAACCACTGATTCAAAGGTTTCAGTTTATGGGTCAAATTGGGACAAATGTGGTAGTGGTTGTAAGTTAGAGATATGAAACTTTACTCCCCTCTTGAGAGAGAACTGTACATTGATGCATGGTATATAGAGAATGCATTGATGTATCTGAGATTTCAGGTTCTCACATGGTGAAGATGTCAGTATTCATCTTCTAGGTTGTAATTTTGTGTGGACTTGTAGACCAAGTTTGTCGATTCATTGGTGTATTGAAGATTAGTTTCTTTCTGCAAACTATGTACGATATATCACTACGTCCAAGTAGAATTCATGTTTTATGATTTAATCGTACTGAAAGACACATCATTCATTACCTATTTCAGATTTGTATATGTTCTTTGCATGATGCCTAAAATGAATGTATAATGGGAAGAGCACGTCTTTGTCTGTCTGTCTACATGTGTTACCTTCAGAGTTGCTTAGTGGATTTCCATTACAGTTAGTATTAAGTTTACGCTAAAGTTGTTGAACAAATTTTGCTTTGGTTATGTTGATTTTTAGAAACAGCTTGTTGTACCACAGATTGGTATGCATCATAAAAAAGATATTTCCTTAAGCTGTACAACTTTTACTTTAAGCGTTTTTTATGCAATGAACAGTTAACAAAATATGTTTGAAGTTAATTACTGAATACTCAGAGCAATTAGCTTTCCATCAGTAGGTTTATATCTTGCTCCAAGCAGGAACATCAAGTTTCTGCCATAACTTTCACATATTTATGTTTCGGTATAAAGATAGAGAATGTTTTGTGTTGGCAGAGGTTTTTATGTGGCACTGGGATGGAGGCATAAGTAAAGCTGGCGGAATCGAATTATGAGATATGTAAATGAGCTCTTAAGCAATCACATACTATAGTACAATTTTTTCCTTGACAAATTTGTATTGTGGTTGATTGTATCTTAATGACCAGAGGAGTTTGAATATGTTTATAATTTTTTTCTGTTACATGGTGTTAGCTGTAGGTTTTTTAATTCTTGTCATTTGCTAGACATTAGAGGAGGCAGTTCATGTTGTAAAATTGACAAGAAATTGCTACTGTGATTGTGGTGAATTTCCATATATGTTCAAGTGGTAATTTATATTTATGGAAGCAGCAAATATTCATGGTGTATGCTGCAAGAGGAAAAAATGCATTCTCTTTAATCAATATTACATTAAGCTGTGTAATTTTTCATAGTATTGGAGGAGGGGCTGCAGTTGCATGAGATAACACCAGTAGATTGATTTTATTCATACAGGTACTTCAGTGCTAAACGTGGGCTGAAAATCTTGTATCATGTTTTATATTCTCATATTGTTAGGATGTTGCAATTCATGGACCAGTTTCTATGTTAACCATTCATTGCAGGATAATTTTTCATTGAATGCCTTGTGTGTGATAAGACTTTAAATTAATATCCTGAACCAAAATTTCTTTCCTGATATATTTTGCTCACAGGTTACATGTCTGGGGTCTGTAAAACAAATAGAAACTAAAGATTTGTAAGGGAGTGTAAAACACTTTTCTCCTCACTGAAATGTTGAAAAAGGGGCACTGTTAGTAATACTTTGATTTTATACCAGGTATAATAAATTCATATGAAGTTTTTTCAGTCCCTTTTGAGCAGTTACAGATATTTTATAACACTGAAAAGGAAATAGGCTAGGAGAAATGTGGAAGGTAAGGAAAGAAAACGTACATATTGAACCACACCAGTAGTGATGCTCAGTACTCATACTCAGGCTTGGAGAAAGAAATGTTATTAACTTAGAATTGTTTCCTTGCCTGGTTGCAGTGGTTATGCAGAAGCTTTGATTTGTGTGGCAAGTTTTTTAGCCTGGTGTTTTGTTTCCCATTCAGATGCTTGTGTTAGATTGCCAACTTGTCGAAGAGACATGTCTTAGAATTTGTTCCTGCATTTTCCACCTTGAAATATATTATATCATCCACCTCATATTCTTCAACTTTTTGGAGTGGAAAGAAAATGAACCCCTCAGTAATTAAATTTCAAAGAAAATTATTAGTAGTATATAAAGTTTCTCATAAACAGGAGGAAAGTAGAACAAGATTTGCTGACTAACCTGTGTTGAGCATGTAGTACTCACATCATTGTTCTCTTCTTTTATTAAATGACTGATTGGGGAAATATTTTCCATAGTTTTTTTTTGATCTGGCTCTTTTAGTATATTTATCTAGTAGCTCTTCCCTCCACTACTGTTACAGATTTAAGAAGTGTGGGTACGAAGTTGTAATTTTTGTCATCTTGCAGCATATGTACATAATGGTTTGCTTGTACTTTGTACATTTGTATCCATATGGTGGATGGTTCATGGATCATTTGTCACATTGTTAGTGATAACTAATGAGTACTTGTCTAGTTTCTTACATGGTTCTTTTTTATTGGCTTCTACTTGCCAATAAATTAAAATCATTGAAGAGATGTTTTATTTCCAGAATTTGCAGTACTTCCAAACAGTCATCCACATAGTACCCTGTATTTCTCTGCAGCAGGTGTGTTGGTGGAAAGGTGAGTTGTTGGTGTAAGTATATGAAAAGCTTTTCTTTTTAGTACTTGGTATTTATTCATAGTGCTGTAACAATGTATTATTCACGCCTCATTTAATAAATCTCTTATGTACATGAATATATACTTCTGCTTATTATGTAAATATATATGATGAATTTAAATTAAGTACACATTTCAGATGCTGGACATGTTCATGTTGGGTGAAAAGTGGGGAGTACCTATTCAGAGATAGCTTTTTCTAATGGTATATTCCAATATCCTATTGCTGGATGTATGGAAATACATATGTTCTGTCTGTCAGACAACTGATTTCATAAAAACAATGACACAAGGTTATAATGTCAAGCAGACAGCTGAGTAGGTATTCCTACCTTTTTGCTTGAATACAGTAACAGGTCCCATTTCTAAAATAGTGGCACTTCTCAATACAAGTTCTTGTACTAATTGTTATACACCATCATCAACCCTGTACTATTGACTAGTTATTTGTAATATATTTTAACTTTTGGAACCCTACTCATTCGTAAATAGTTTGATAACATTAACAGTTTGACTTCAAAATGCCTGTGAGATTGAATGTCCTAGTATATTATTGTCTAGAGTCATTGCTTGATCACTTTTGAACTCTTGTAAAGTGACAGCAGGCTGATTTTTGGAGTATGTTGTGAGAGTTGCTGTCTATGATATTTATCATAACTGCAGCTGTCTCAATGCCAATGGTATATCTACTTTGAGCATTTTGGATGTGTGAGGTGGTGTCTCCATTCAGAATAGCTTGCACAGCAGCCCCATATGCCATAGCCTCATCAGACTCAGCTGTTTCCCCACAGCGGTTTTATTTTTTAATTTTTAGGTCTCGTTTTAGCTATATGGATGTTTTTATCAACAACATAAGGCTGCGTACTTTTAAGCGAAATGAGATTTTCAGGTTTTCAAAAACGGCGATTATGACGTGCACTGTTTTCTGGGATGTTGGGTCTTGTATCAACGTTAAGGCGAGCTTATTGCCTCATCGCTGTTGATAGAGGCGGTAGGCACCTCTGAAAAAAAACGGTAAATTTGTACTAGAGTACATGATGTAAAGATGCCAGCCATGTTTGTAACGTTGAATTGCACAAGCTTCATGTTGGTATTAATCTGCGATAATAAGTTTGAACAGCCTCGCTTCTGTGCTCAGAGGTGATACACGAGAGCTTGACGTTTGGCATGCTTGGAGGTATTTGTGATTATGATGTGGTGTTTGAGTTAAGAAGGTGAAGTTGGGGTGGTATAGTTTAAGATATTTGCATTATCTTAATTGTAAAACTTAAAGAAAATATGTCAGGAGAAGAGATCAGCACAGAGAAGAAATGTTGTGTTAGACAAGAGGCGATTGATACACTGAATGTAAGGAAAGTGCAGCATCTCAGTTGACAGTATTGTAAATACAGGAAGGTGTATAATAGCTTAGAATATTTTTATATTTCGTAGATCCTCATAACACTAAGCCAAGGATGTGGAGTATGTTGTAATATAAATAAAACTAACACAATCATTAATACCGCAACAGTTATGTTATTCCATAATTACAATCCGTTAACACTATCGGTGAAGTTACCAAGTCTAGTCACGTCTGTTTAGTACTTGACAGTTGCGTTAATTTTTTGTATCTCCAAGTATTGGTTTCTTTACCGTCTTAACAGTCCCATAAATGAGCTATTTATAAACCTGTTATCTAACCATATAGAATTTGCCACTACAGGAAGCTTAATTGTAGTATGGTGTATTTTTTGTCCTCATTTGGAATCACTATTGAAACTTGTGTTCTTTTTTACAGGAAAAATTAAATGAACTCTACATATATCGAGATCATTATTTTGAAAGACATTCTTTGGATAAAGCAGGCCAAAAGAATGATGATGTGGAAAATGAAATGAAAAATACATTGAATTGTTTTGAAAGTTTGAAAGGCATGTATGGTTAGTCTTTTGGTTGTTCATAAAATGGGTTCTGAGAACTTTTTGTCTTTAAGATAAATTGCCTTTTAAGTTTATAATAGTTTAAAATTTCAGAAAGTGCTGAGCAAGAGAATAGAACCATGTACCTATACCTAAAAGGCCGGGCTCTAAATGTGATGCCTCAGCACTCAAAAGAGGCTGAAGAAGTGTTGTCTCGTGCTGTTAAACTGGATCCTAAGCTTGTAGAGGCATGGAATGAGCTTGGTGAATGTTATTGGAAGAAAGATAACTTTGAAGAAGCCAAAAACTGTTTTTCTGGAGCTTTACTTCATGTATGCAACCCATGTCTAATAAAAATGTATTTTACTATAAAATTAGTAATTTAAGTAATAAGGTTCCGCATTATTGAATGACCTCTATTCTCATACGTCCTTTAAAGTACTGAGTATTTGAAGGCCTTTTCAAAAGGTTAAGAAATTAAGATTCTTGTTATGTATACTCATAGGTGTTTGTATGTCTCATTTTCTTTCCTGCTAAAGAAGAACTTGTATTTTTCACTTTAAGAGACTTCTTGCATGCAGTTCATTCAATGCCATCAACTCTAAACAGTAGTTGACAAGACCATCTTATTTTACTTGTATTTGTTAAGCTTGTTACCTTTGATAAGTACGTGACAGTTATGAATTCTTATGTTCCTACATTACTTTCAGAGATGGAGCATTTTAAAAAAAAATTTATATCTTAAATTGCTGAAACATTTCTGGCCCTAATCATGATGGGAAGTTTATTCATGTGCCAGTTTAAAGCTTTTAAATGGACATTCCATTTGCTATGCCTTGGGTAACTATTTTACTTTCATTTTAACCATTATTATATGAGACTAGGAGATTTAAACTCCTGTACTGGGGCTGCTGGGCAACTTTTGTTAGCAAAAGTACAAAATTAAAATATAGCAGCTTGTTACTTAGTCAGACATGGAAATTAAATATTTGTCAGAAAGCTACGTTGAGTTGACCTGGGATGACCTAGCCTCCTATTCATGTTATCAGCATATTCCACTTAATTTATCCCACATGGGCTCAAATATTTTCCTTACCACTGTGTGTTAAATTGACTGTAAGTATGTTTTTCCTTTAGAACAAGAAGTTATATTTCATAAGCACAGAAAGTGGACAAAGTAATTGTCTTAGTATCCTATGATTCTGATGGCAGATGTGATATTAACAGTTCTTTAACTTGGTGAAACACATTTCCTGAATTAAGACACCATATTTAATTATTCATAGTGGTGAATTTATAGTTTGATTCTTTGTATAAACGATGGTGTCAACATAAATTAGCTTTCGTAACTTAAGGTATTTTAAAAATCTTACAAACTCTTGTGTATGCAGGCGAGGAACAAGGTCTCACTTCGAAACTTGTCAATGATTCTGCGACAAGAGAAAGTAGCATCAGCGCAGCAGCGTTCTGACAATATTGAGAAAGGTGTGGCATATGCTAAAGAGGCGGTACAACTTGATCCTAATGATGGCACTTCATGGGCTGTGCTTGGCAATGCATATCTGTCATCCTTCTTCACACTGTCACAGAATCCTCAAGTGCTTAAGTCATGCATTTCTGCATATCAGCAAGCGGTGAGTTATATTAAGAAGCCATGTGACTAGCTGTAAACTGAATAGCTGTGGTATTCCTTTTGCATCTTTCCACCAGTTTCAGTTCCTCTGTCTGATACGAAGTTGTGACTTACTGTACTTTTCACAGGTTTAAAAACTATGTTACTCTCTCCCAATACAATGTTCTTAATTCTGATTTTAGTGATGGTATGTTTTCTTTCACAGGAGAAGGATATTGTGGCTCGCAGCAACCCTGATCTGCACTATAACAAAGCAATTGTGAGTGTCAAGAAAACTGTCATATATGCTGCAGAAATTATTCAGATATATAGTTCATGTTATTACTAAACATAGAAAATATTAATTTACAATATGAATGTAATTCCTTGTTTCCCCGTTAAATAGTTAAGGGCTAGTACATACATCAACAAACGTTTGCAAACAGTTTGCATACAAGTGTTGTCCATGTTTGCAAACTGCCTGCAGGAAAAATATTTGATTTATTGTATTTTTAATACGTAAATAATGTTACTATCAGTTATAAAGTTTTTGTTTTGTTAAAAGGCTTTGAAATATGAAGAAGAGTATGAACTGGCACTCGAGTCCTTCTCACGTGCCCAGGCCCTAGATCCAACATGGGAAGCCCCAAAGCAGAAGGAGAAGCAACTGGTCAAATATTTGGATAGTGTTCAGGAACTTTTGTCCCTGAAAGGGAAACTGAAAGGAAAAAAGTTACAACAGATGGTGCAGGTAAGATCTGGTCATGTTTCAAGCTTATTTTTTAAGCCATTGTTAGTAAGGAGAAAGAACAAAATCTTTTATTTCATATAAATTGATTTTACTCATGCACAACACTGTGTTAATTTGAGTTTCCAGTGCCTAATGGTCTAAGGGTAAGGTAAGTCCCACCATCAAAGTCTGGGTGTGCCAAAAATTATATAATAAAGGTAGAGAAATATAAAATCTTTGCAATAATGGGGTATCACTGAAACCAAAGCATGAAGAAGAATTTTATATATTTACTGCTTGTTTTGTTGCAGTCTATAGAACCAAGGCAGTTGGGACCATATGGTGGAGGGTCCTACACTACCAGAAACGAGACTGTTCAGTTGGAGCCCATCATCTTGAAAAAGCTACATTCGGGAATTAACCTCGAGAAAGTCGTTCTTGGAAAAGTAGTATGCAGTGTGCATAATGATGATGCTGTACCATTGTAAGTATGTGTATCTGGTCATTTGACCTTTGACTTTCTATTATTAAGCTATATGTTACAGTGTTTTTACACTGTAGAGCATGTTTGTGGTAAAAAAAATTCCCACTGAACTTCATGCAGGGATACAAGGTGAATGGGGCACCACTAAGTGTCATGGCATGACGTTAGTTACGTACTTTTGGGAGCTTGAAGAGTTTCATGCTGCCATGAGCTTTCATGGCATGCAATTTGTGTACAGGAACAACTTCTCCATTATCACTTCAGTTATTAGAGATTTCATTTTACAAAAATTCTCATCTTCGCGGATTAGACAATTTAATACCAGTCCCATCCTTAGAATATTTTGTAGGATTTCCTAGGTCTTCCACTTATTCTTAGCCGCTGTCCTACGTGAGCGATTAAATGTGAGCGGTGCGAGTTGCGCGGGTGGAGCGGAAATATCAAACTGGTTTGTGTGGCGCTGTCCTAGGTTCCAGCGAAGCCGTCAGGAGAGGGAAGCGGCCAAAGACCGAGATCAAATATTTTAATATTTTCGCGCGAGTTGCTGCGCTGGCCAGTAAGGCGCATGCTCAAGAAAGCTCTGACCGTGCAGTACACAGAAGGCACATGGGCGGGAAGGCCGTGTGCTTCTGTTGCAGTCTCTCATGTAGGACACAACAGGCGATTCCCCACTTCATATGACACCCCATGCTGCTTATGCAGCTCGGGTAGCTCGCTTGTTATCGCTTACGTAGGACATTGCCTTAGCTTTGTGAATTTTTTATTCCCTTTATTTTCTACCACCTGTCTTTGCCCATTAAATCTATATGTTGTTCGAGGCTTTTGCTGTACTTGCATGTAGTAATTTTTCAGTTGATCTTGAGTTTCTCTGAAATTTCAGTCAATTCATAGTTTGGGAATGTATGAAGCTGTGACTTGGTGCTTATGCACAGAGATAAGGCAATTGTTTGTTTGTTTGTTAGTGTTTAATTATTTACTTAATTTTTCTCACTTCATAAATGTACTTTGTTCTTTTGAGTTTGTTCTGTGAGGTTGAACTGCAGGAACGTGAATGTTTATTAAGTCATACTCTGTGGAATGAAGTGCGTTTTCTCTCTTCTGCAGCACATTCTGTCTGGTTGATAAAGAAGAAACCTGTATGGCTGTGACAGTTTACAATCTTGCACAAGGGAAGGGTGTCATCATTGGTGATTCAGTGGCCATACCAGAGCCTTACCTCACCGAAGTTCACTTCAAGTACAAACAAAAGGTGAGAAGTAGATGGATTTTTAATATTGGCGATTATAGTTTTGAGCATTGTCCATTTTGTGAGTTGGCCGCTTCTTTCTTCAGGTGATTGGTCAATATTGCACTGATTTTTTTTAATAAGTAACAACTCTCATACTGTGAAAAAGAGAACTTACTTTTAATATAAAAGTTGAAATATTATAAATCTGTAGTTATTAATTTAAATTACTTCAAGTAGGTGACAGCTGCACTGATATGTTAGTGATTTGAGAATTAGCTTGTACCGCGGACATTGCAGCACAGTGAATCGTCCAACTATTGTCACAAACTTAAGTTAGAATAATTACAAAGATGCTAGTGTTTGGATGTTACCTTTATAAGGTGCAAATCCTTCGTACAGAGAGGGCTTATCTTCTTGTGTATGCATCAGTCATCTCTTCTCTGAAATTGTCAAACGAGAATGATGTCCATGTTTTTCTTTCCTTGTCCATCCTACATATTCAACCCTCATTCTTGGTGATTTAATTATCATAATTTTATGTTAGGACTTTAAATTATTAAATTATTATGCCGGCCGCAGTGGCCACGCGGGCTGAGGCACGGACCTCGTGCGCCTGGCCGCTGGGACCGTGGGTTCGAGTCCCACTCGAGGCATGGATGTTTGTCCGCGTCTCTCTGTGTTTGTGTAGGTAGAGGCCTCGCGTCGGGCCGATCACTCATCCAAGGAGTCCTACCATTGTCCAAATAGATCAATCAAATAAATAAAAACCTCGACACCTACGGGTAAAAGAGGATGAGAGAAAGAGACTTTAAATTGTTGAACTCTTTATGTAGTATCCTTCACTCTCCCAATATTTATCATTCTCTCCAAATATTTTCCTTATTTTTTGTTCTCACATCATTTCAATTGCTAATCTTCTGTCAGAGTGAGGAACCAGAATATTCATTAATAGATTATTGTGACTTCCCAGGAATGGAATTTTTACTCTTTGCGGGTGGAAAGTCCAGTGGTGCTTGTGGTAAATGGTCGCAAAGTTGGACGAGATCAACAAGCCAGTGCGCAGCTGTCAACATTTAAGAGAACTGAATGAAATCGTTGTTGATGTCACATTTGTCATCTCTTGCTGTCTGTCAAATTAACAGTAACACACACTTCATAGTAACATGGGGGTAATTCAGCACATGAATCTGGGTGTCATATGATAAGCTTTCAATCCTGCAATTGCCATTTGATTGATTGTACAGTGTGGTGAGTTCCATGAAGTTGTGGTTTCCAGTGGACTAATTCTACTGTCCTCCGAGGAAAAGTATGTATGTGTAAGAGGGCACTCATGACCCATTTGAAGGTAGGATCTCATCATTCATCTGGAGATGCTGAGAGAAGGTGACCAAAGTCTCTTCAGAATAACCATTAACACAACTGAGATTGGAACAGGTACCCCTCAAGTCCAAAAGAAACACAAAACTGCTCAACTTTGTGTGTTTACGTATTACTTTATCTGTGATTTTTAAAGCAAAGGTGTCTGTTGTCCGTAACAATTTTTGTTAAGTTGTTCTTCCATCCTCAGGACTAGTTATTCCCTCAGACGTGTCCTCAAATTGTACTTTTTCAAAAAGAAAATGGTAAAATATCAAGATAGAACATTGACAGGAAAAGTCAAAACACAACAGAAATTTAATGTTTTTTATACAGGTTGGGGTCCGGAGTGGCCGCGCGGTCTGAGACGTGGGCCTTGTGCCGCTCGGTCGCTGGGACCGTGGGTACGAATCCCTCTCAAGCCATGGATGTTTGTCCGCGGTTTTCTGTGTTGTGTTGTCCTGTGTACAGGTAGAGGCCTTGCGACGGGCCGATCCCTCGTCCAAGGAGTCCTACCGAATGTCTATAGATCGAGCCAACGAAAAAGTTGGGACCCGCAGTGCTCAGGCACTTGAAGAACGGGTCGTTCCCACTATCCAGTTATACAGATTGGATAAGATTTGAGTTTTAGTTGTGTACTTGGGTTAAGCTGTGAAAATGTCATCTCACAGGAGAAGGTATTAACATGTGAATGGATGGGCAAACTCACATTGGAGTAGATAATAGATACTCATTTATTATTTTAAAATGTGACAGGATTCTGGTGATGGTTTATTGCCGTAATCCCAAACTGTCTAGCTAAAGAATTTTTTTATAGAATTAATAAAATTATGTTCTTCATTTATTTTCCAGTACTTGTGAATTTTTTACCGAACTCTCTGATTTATTAAGGTTTATTTTTCCTGCATATTTCTGATCACTCACATGAATTCATCTAGTATTTATTTTACCAGGCGTTTTCACTGTACTGCAATGCTTTATTTTTTACTTCACATGATTTATGAAGTAACTTATTGAGGATTATATAGAGCTTTGCTTTGAATACCTGTGTATTTTGTATATTTGGGAACAGATTCTAGTTATCTCTTGACTTCTTGTCTTTTCTGACGATTCATCAGTAGAAATTATCGATTAGCATAAAAATACACAAACAAAAACATTTTTTTTATAAATTTAATTTGGGTTATGCAGTGCAAAATTTTCCAGTGCATGAAATGTAAGTTACATATTTTGGTACTTGTGGGTTATTGGGACACATCGCTTTAAAAATAGGTTAGGTTAGGTTAGATTAGTTTAGGTTAGGTTAGGTTAAGTTAGGTTAATATGTGTGCATAAATGACATATACTTGAAAGTTATTATCCACACACATTAACCTAACCTAAACTAATCTAATCTAACCTAACCTATTTTTAAAGCGATTTGTCCCGATAACCCACAAGTACCCACATTTTATATGCAGTGTATGCCATAATTTTGAATTCTGAAATAACAGTTTACGATCCCACTATTACTATTACTTTTATTCCCCGTAATAATAGCACCCCCCCCCTTTTGTACTGGTTTATTTTCCAAGTGTCTGGACATGAAAAGTTCGCTTTGATAGGCCACCGTTTTCTCGGCATTATTGATGCATCCACGCTTTATGCATAACAGTTGTAATAATTTGTAGTTGATATGAGTTGTTTCACGTTCGTACCGCACACTGAACTCGGTCTGTTAGCACGTTAGCTCAGCCAGTCGTCATCATCATCCGTTAAACAATTCTGCACCACAGTTTATTGCTTCATAGTTCTGTTATTTATATTACCTTTCTTTGGTTCTTATAATTCCTATGGCACTTGTCGGTATTAATAATTCCGATTGCCAGCGCTGCTCTTAAAATACATTTTCACAAAAGTTTTCATAAGAAGGAAATGCAACATTCCAACAAACTATTAAAAGCAAAAGGCCCCGTCTTCATGTTATTTTTAACGACGCAGACATTTGTTGCTATTCCATCGCTGTGAAGAAGAGTTAGTGATGGAAATGGATTCCTAATTAACAAATGTTATTTGGAAGACTCTCATAAAATCATCTTGGACCGAGTATTTATGCTTTATTTATAATACGAAACAGTCTGTGACTATTTTTTCTCTTACATTTGAGCCTTCCCAAAATAAAAATAAAAAATCTATTCCCATTTCCAATGGGAACTCTGAAATGTTTGACCCATTTTGAGTGTTACTGACTTTAGACTTTATAATCGTTTAAATTTAGTTTGAAATCACATTACCTTCAACGGAATGTGACAGTAGGTGGCACTTCTGACTTAAATAGTGGAATATATTCTGGTCAGCAAAGTGAACCATTTATTTTTCCATTGCATCCTTTGAAAATTTTAAGCATCAGGG